AATATCTCCAAGGATGGAGACTCCACAGCCTCCCTGGACAACCTGTGCCAGTGCTTGGTTATCCTCACAGTAAAAAGTGTTTCCTGATCTTCAAAGGAAACCTCCTGTGTTTCAGGTTGTGCCCATTGCCTCTGGTCCTGTCACTGGGCACCACTGAAAGAGACTGACTGCGTCCTCTTTGCACCCTCCGTTCAGGTATTTGTATACATTGATGAGATCTCCCCGAGCGTTCTCTTCTCCAGGCTGAGCAGCCCCTGCTCTCCCAGCCTCTCCTCCAGCTACTTCATCACCTTCCTGGCCCTTTGTTGGACACTCTCCAGTAAGTGCATGTCTCTCCTGTACTTGGGAGCCCAGAACTAGTGCTGAGCAGAGGGGAAGGATCACCTCCCTCGACCTGCTGGCAATATTTCTCCCAGTGCAGCCCAGGACACCATAAGGCTTTTTTGCTACAAGGGCACACTGCTGGCCCACTCAGCCATTAAGGCATGTGGAGCATTAACTCCAGCAGAAGGCAAGCCTGGGCAGTAACAGGGAGGTGAAGGAGGGCTAGGGCAGATATCCCCTCAATAAAGCAGGTTCACAATGTGGACAGCAGACCAGGTGGATCCCCAGTCCAATCCAGAGCATAAATTTCTGCATTCCTATGCTTGCATAGTCTCTCCCTGTCTCTCTCAGTCACACTTGATGCCATTTCTGAGCAATGTGTGTGACCTTTTCAGATACTCCAGCAGGAGCATTGCTTTATCTCATGGACACAACTTATTTGCGCCTGCAGTTCTGTGTATGGCTAGGCGCCAACAAAGGTGATCTCAATGACTTTTGGATGATCATGAAAAAGATGAATTTTCCATTTTACATGGGGTCCATTTTTAGCAGATATTCAAACTATCTTCCCCCTCGCCACACACATATGCATTTCCTCCACCTTGCTGGCCATTTTTCTACACACACAATAAAAAAAAAGGGGGGGGACAGATCCCCTTTTTGCAGAAATTTCCTCTTGCAATTTTAAAAGCTCACTGCTCAAGATGAGAAACAAGCTGTACTCCATTTTTTGTCATCAGCTGCAAATGCTTAAACAGCAGGACACAGAGTTAGGAGGTCTTCGCCCACTGAACGACCATTTCTGGATGGCAACAGATGGTAGCCATGGTGGATCTGCAGCAAGGGCACCTTTCACAGCACCTGAGTAGCATACAGATGCTGCCAGCAAGCTGAAAAAACACCCCATTAAGCTTACTAGGGAAACTTCACCTTGTAAAAAGATGTAAAGTTAGATCAGTTAACTAATTTCAACCCTACCTTCGGAGTCGCTGCTGCTATTCCACAGAAATACATATTTTATTACTGTTATTCTATTAATTTATTTTTTTTTACTATTGCAATATTAGTGTCATACCTTTCTCAAAGCTGGCTTGAGGCCTGTCCTGTGCATCCACTCCATTAAACATTTCATTCTCTTTAAGAATGGAAGTACCATGTCCCTGTCTGCAAGTAATCTTTACTGCTGACCTTTCATACACAGGGAATCAGACTGGAAACAAAATTCACATGGCACTAAGTATGTGACAAAGCACCTAAGACATTTTATTTGACATTCATTAAGATGACCTGAACAGCTCACTCATTGCTTCATCATTTCTGATTAATGCACTCACACAAATGCATGCCAGTAAAACCCCTTCTGAAACTACTTTCAATTTGTTATATGACAGTGATGTTCACATGAGAGACTAAAGAGCACATCACTACTCAGTATATATATTTGTAACAAAACATATTACAGCCCTATAGGTCTGTCCCTCCTGTCTTCTGATCTATCCCTCATGAAATCCTGTAACTTCAAAATCCTAACAAGTTTTTATAATGCCGAATTGAAAACAGCATCACAGCCATATTTTTTCTGCCTCCTTCACAGCGTACTTCCCTTTTAAACCTGTCCTGGGCCGTAGCCCAAGATAGGTCAGATTTGGCCCACTCCTAGCAAGTGAATTTCTGAATATAAAAATTCTCCCTCTTCCACTACAGTGAAGTTGGCTGTTTAAGCTCCTATTGACCAAAACCTATGAACTTCATATACCTGGGAAACAGACACTCAGATGGTAGCCAGTGGCTCTAGAAGGAATCCAAGGAATTTCAAATTAATTTTTATTCATAGGAAAATTATTTTAAGTAATTATAGAGGATTTTTCCCCCTTTTTAGTGGTTTCAATTTCATTTTGATCTCACATCCACAACTGTGTCTAGGTCTGAGAGATTCTAAAGGAAGATCTCCAAATCAAGCTGTCAGTTTTTGAAATAAACTGTCTAAAACACCTGGCATCTTTAGTGTCACAAATACAATATTACATAGTATAACTGTGAGGTTTTTTTTTTAAATTGGTGCTGATGTATATAACTTGGGTTTTTTTCCCCCAGCTATCTGCCAATGAAATCACCAAAAATTCTTGACAACAAAATGTCCTTAATGATGTATTAAGTGCCTCTCTCCTTTATACCTAATACTCATATGACAATAACAAAAGGAAAAGAAAAGGGAATTTGTTGAGTTGAATTGTATTTAACCATATTCCTCACGAATTAAATTCTTCTATATATTTGCAAGAGAGAAGAATATATAAACAATACCACAGCTTTTACTGGCACAAACCTACTGTGATCATATGATTCCTGCTTGCCTCAAGTATAAACTGCAGAGGTCATTTGAAAATGGTGTAACAAGATTTACAGGATTCCACCTCCTATTTTCTTCTTTCCTATTTTTTCTTTGTACACAACATTATTTAAAAAATTAAATACATTTCAAAACTACAGTCAGAAAAAAGCTATAAGCAAGGATCAAGTGCATCATGAAACCAAAATATTCAGATTCTAGAAGCTGCTTGTAATATAATTTTCTTGGTCACTTCTTGTATGCCTACTGGGGGACTGATCCACAGTAAAACAAAATAAAAAGATCAAAATTCTAGCCTTGGTTAGGTGCAACAATGAAAGTCTTACTGGTTTCAGTAGGGCCAAAATTCCATCTACAAGGTTTACTTCCTTTGACCTAAATGTGCTTTGAATCAATCCCTAATAGCCTTTGAGAGGCAAATGGTTTCTTTCATTGGGGATTAACTCATAGTATGCTCTATTGTGTGATCAAATGTTGTAGGGTTTTAATGTCCAATTACAAGGTGATTAAATAATTTGCAAATTCAAAACATCCCTCTACTTTTTTAATGAATTTTTGAAAGAATATTGTTAAGACTTAATTTTAAATGGTTATAAATCACAATATTTTACTTTGACAACAGAGATGCCTTATTACTGCTTACTGTGGCCAAAATTCTCAAGAACTACTGGAAACATAATTCCTTTCTGAGCAGAAAGAAGAACTCCAACTCATCTTTGAGCCTCACCATGGACTTTGCAATAGCTGTTAGTTGAAGGGTTTCTAGCACAGGTCCGTCAATTAGTATATCCAGTGGTCAGAACACTAAGGAGCCATCAAAAGCCAAGATGTGAAACTAATGACATCAAGGTCAGGAGACAGATTTAGCACAGAGACGCTGTATCCTGTCTGCTCTCTGTATCAGGGAGGTTGGATGCAAATGAACAGTAACACAGGCACCTCAGAAACAAGTGGCTCTATAGCCATGCTGACACTGTCAAAATTATCTTTGTATGATACTGCTTCAGTTTAAAAATTGCTTTCAGTTTGAGTAGGACTGGAGAAAAAGTGATGTTGAAACTTGATCCTGTGAAACAGGAAAACATCTCTGAAGGGTTCTCCCCCTTGGACAGATGCATCTCAACCAGGAAGGAAAGACAGCATCAGTCTCTTATGCCTCTGACTGGTTTGTGTCTTCCACCACTAGTGTGAGGATAAAAGCTCTCTTGTGCTGCTCTCAGGCTCATCTGACCCTTTAATGAGCTGATTCAGCTTATTAACCTGACAAGGAATGACTCCTTTTTTTTTTTTGTTTGTTTGGTATTTGCTGTGTTTGTTTCCTAGAACCAGGCGAAGGAAAACAGTGGGAGCATGTGTGCGTGGGTGGAACAGCTCTGCCTCTTTCAGCAGCAAAAATTTTAGATCAGCCTGTAAAATCTTATCCTGCTTTTCAAAGGTACTGTAGATCTTGACTTACAAAAGAAAAGAAAATCCTTCAGGGATTTATTAAAAATAAAAATTATGAAAGCGTCATTACTTGACAAAGTGGCTTCAGTGAAGAAAGCAGCTTTAAGAAGCATGTTTCCTTTCTTCCCCTTTCCCTCACTCACTGGTTTTCCAATATAACCAATGCTCACACTGTGTTAACACAATTGTTTATGGAGCCATTCTGCAGGCCAGATCACTGGAACCACCTTAATTGAAAATCATCTGTCCATCTTCAAAGTCATTCTTCCGCCAAACCATTCAATTGCAATGGTTCCTAGGGTGGCCTTTCAGTCAATAGTAACAGCCAAGCAGACAACGAACAAAAGCATTGTGACCTACAAGTAGAAATATTTCTACGTTGGCTCTGCTGTGAAGCCCGTGTAATAGACAACCAACCATGCACCAAAGGTAAGGGGAGCTGCTGACTGGAGACAAAAGATGAGCAAGAACAATCTCAGATGATTCTCAGCCAAAGACAAAGCATGATAAGGAGCTGAGAAATGACAGGCAAAGCTCCAACACCTCACAGCATCTCTGAAACACCAACTAAGTTTTTAGACTCAAATACATTGCATACATGCATGCAGGAATGGACACATGCATGCAAGGTGTAACCTTCCAAGAAAAACTTCTGGTTTATTCCTAAATGGACTAGTCACAATCAATAACAATTTCTATAAGACAGCTGTAAATGGCTACAGGCCAAAAGAAAAAAAATCCCTCAGCTGTAGGACTGAACACTACAGGTAATTTCCTCAAGCATCTGACATCCAATACTGGCTTGGTATAGAAGTGATTCTGTAAGCCTAATTCACACAGTAATGAGCTCAAAAACAGAAAACTTTCTCAGACTGCTTACCTCTTTTGCACTTTTAATTTTGGCCAAGAAAGTGTACAGTTCCATTGTTTCAGCAAACAGAGCCCGACATACTGCTTGATAGTGGTTTGGCGCCTCTGATCGAGTTGGCAGGTGGGCAGCACACAGCTAGAAAGAAAAATAAATAGCAATATCAAAACAATGCCCCATTGCTTTCATTAATGCTACAGAGGACGAGATAACACGAAAGGGAATGCAATGGAATGTTTAGGGCACAAAAATCCATGAGACATTTAAGCTTAGGCGGAAATTGGGGTGTATTTTCTAAACCTTCTGCTACCATTCATTTTATGAGAAGAGTTCTATAAGGATGGTAAGGGGACTGGTTGGCCACGTCTTGGAAAACTCTGAAAGCCAAGACATTGTCTTTTCATTAAAAAAAAAAAAAAAAAAGGACAAAGATAAAGACAGAGACAACATAATTGTGAAGGGAGAAAAAAAGCAATCTTACAGTATCAGATTTTGCGAAAATGTACTTAATTCAAACCAGCTTTAACACTAAGTCTTGTTCAGCTTCCTATGAATGTGGAAGAGAACTGTACCCCTGCCAATTTATGAAAGGACAGGAGGTGAAGCAAGGAAAAAAATGAAGTGTAATCATCAAGGTGAAACTCTAATTTAATTTATTTCAAGCAGTACAAAGATTTTAAAAAACAGCACGAGCCATGGAAATGCAGGCTTATTGCATCACCTCAGACATTCACGAATATTTCCAGACACAGGCACAGCTGATGCAAAGAAACACCAGTAGATGTTTTCATATATGCTAACCCTGCAAAACTCTGAAAGCCTACTCAAATCACTAATAATCATTCACAGCTACAGTTAATCAGTAAGTCAGTCCAGTATTGCTTTTAAACATGCAGTTCCCATTTCCGACAAGAGATGTTTCACTGAAACCAGCCTTTGTATTTCAAACAGTGAACCTGAAAGGTATGAGCAACATCCAGTTTCTACTATTGTAGAATAGCCCAGCATTGACTATTGACAACAATAGTTGTCATATCTTTTTCTTACGCTTCCTCTTGGTCAAATCCATCATCTGTAAATATTCATCATGGAAGTCTTGGCTGGAAACAGACAGAACAAAATAACATCTACAATTTGCTCCCCAAACAGTTTTAAATAAAATAAACCTCAAAGCTGAAACTAGAGCACCCATATCATATATCATACTGGTGTATATATTAAAATAAAATCTTAATGAAGGCCTTAAAATTTGTCTTGTTACTGTGGCTTTATAGTAATTTATTAGATATATAGCTGTATTTATAGCTATAGAGCTAAAACTAAGAACAAGCCAAAACCTGAGGCAGTAGTGGTTACATTCAGATGTCCAGAACAAAAGCTTGAGACAAAAGCCTCTTCAGGAGAAGAGCCCTTAATTAGCCTAGTGGCATATTTGTCTAAATCTCTCCTGTTATTACAGTGAACACTCTGGTTACAAGGGGCACAATGCATGCAAAGCTTGGGCTGCTTTTTCATATTGCTGTCAATTTGATGTAAATCCATGCTGCAACTAAAAGGTGTGGTCTTGTGGCCTCCAGCTGTACATGTCCACTGACACCCCCCCTTATGCTGGCACCAGGGTTTGTGCCCTAACTCACAGAGGATGACTCACCCAGGAAAAAAAATCAACATGGTAAAGGAAGTGAGGCGGTGAAGGAAGGGAGGCAGAAGACAATTATTCTTTGTGGCATGGACACAGGCGTAGTAGCGCAGGTAAAAACGAGCAAGGGGAATATTCTGCCAGAGTGGGGAAAGGGAAGAAGGGCTGAACAACTTCTTTTGGTTGCAGTCAGCTTTAGAGTGGCTCAGTCTCACTGACAAGTTGCTTTCTAAGGCCATAGCCACCCCTTGTTATCTTTTATTTCTTCCAATTAGTTTAACAATACAGAGTTCAGTGGTCAGACTTGGTGAACTTCTTTGATAAATTTTCACAAGAGAAATTTGGACTCCTGCAATATCCTATTCTGATTATTGTACCCATACATATATCTCCTTTTAGTCATAAAAAAGAATATATAATAAGGTTCACATATGTGTGTGTGTATTTGTGTGTATATTTTCCTTCCTTCCTATATATAGGGAACACAAGGCAGACATGTTCACAAAACTGCCCTTGATTCCTCCCTTTCAAATTTTATACTGCTATATGATGATGATCAAAATTTTCTTATACTCTTCAAATTTATTTCTGGATAATCACAGGGACATAGCTGACAGAAACCTTCCTTGTGCTTCTCCCCCCTCCCCCCATTTTTTTCTTCCTTTTTGTCGTTCTCACCCACCCCCCCGCCTTTTTTTTTTTTTTTTTTTTTGGTCTTGTTTTTCTTTTCTTTGTTTCCTTTTTAACAATTATATTATCTCCTTTGCAGGTAAAGGGAGAAAAACTAAAACAGATGTACCTCTAATGTGTGCTACAGGGACAACACATACAACAAAGACAGAAGCTATTAAACATTGCCCTTAATGAAAATATTCAGAACATTTAAAAGACCAAATTCTGAGTATGGTTAATTTGTGTTCCTTTCTCTCAATAACTAATCATGGCCTTACCTGCCTTACTATGTTTTCATTAAGCTATTTCTTCTTATTAATTATAGCACAGACAAAAAGCATTTCATTCTAAAAGACACCACTGAGAGGAATAACAATAACTGTTAGAATAACATCATCAGTAATTTCAAGAAGGTCATCAAGCAGTACAAGTCTCCGTAGCTGAGAGTAAAATTTTATTATTATACAGATTGCACACAAGTTTTTAAGAATGTTTTTTTGTCTTTATTTAAATGCATGTTCATTAGGAACAATTTGCATCAAATATTGAGAAAGTTAATGAAATGCAGCAGTGGCAAGTTCAAGCAGGGGATGGATATAATCTCAATTTTATTATTGAACACAGTAAAGCAAAAAAAATTAAATGCCTGCTGCTAATCTTAGTTACAAAAGCAACCACATAAAAAGTTCACTATTTGGTTTGTAAACATTAAGCTGCGGATACTAAAAAAGGCCAGCAGCTCCTACCAACTTTCATGTTCTGAAAAAATCCATCTCTGAATGATCTTATATTATGTGAAGATGCATCACATACAAAAAAACCCTGTGGTAACATTAAGTCAAGTGATTTAGCATAAATTTTTGGCTTGGGGAAGGTAACCCTGAAGAAAAAGGAGAATGCCAATAGGAAAGACTGCTTTTTTCCCCCTTCATTGGAATATATTGTACTTGCATGTTGTGCAGAACATGTTGTTGACAAGCTATAACTTCTACATGAAAAAATACTGCAAAATCTAGGCAGGCAAGGCAAAGTACGAAATGTAACTTCTAGCCTGAGTTCAGGATATTTATCCACTTAAAAACAAATTAAATCATATCTTTAATTTTATGATAGTAGTGTTTGAAAAACGATGTTACCATAACACACCACAAAAATCAGTCAATGTTTTAACAATTGAGATACGAAAGGACAGCCACCTAATGAACTCCTCCTCCTCTTACCCTGTCACAGTGATCATGGTGCAAGAAGGATTAAAACCAGGTCTGCAGTCTTTTACAGCCATTCAGAGTTCATCGAGGAAAGGAAGCCTCTGTATGCTGCTTATTCTGACACTTACCTTTTCATCCCTCATGATACAACTTAAAACTATCCTAAGGGGAATGAATGTGAACAGTGCCCAGAGCTTAATACAAAGGCTGTTTGTTCTGTTTCCAAGAAGTCTCAAAAACTATGGTTGAAAACAAATTACGTGGTCTTTGCAAATTGGTGAAATATCAAAAATATTATCTACTACTGAAACATTAACTAGCTCGGTCTGTATTTTCATTTGCAATCATTGTGAAGAGCTGGGATTTTTTTCCCCCCCTATCTGAGCCTATCCAAAACCCAGCTTGACCCAAAGCATTCAATCTTTGCTTAGATCACTAAGAAGATTAGAGACTGTTTCCATCCACATTCAGGGTTCACAGAAAAAAAAAAGGCATTATGTAAATACCACAGCCTTGCCAGCTCCTCTATCCAAATTCATCCTCAATTGACTAGGAAACAGTGCACCAAGCCAAAGCAGTGTTAACAGAAATCACAACTTAACCATCCTAAGAGATCAAACAGCATTTCTTGCATTTGTTTGAATATATTCCATCAAAGGCTCCATAAAATTACAAAAACTACAAGTGACTCATCCACTAAAATTCAGGTAGGTTTTGCAAAACCTTTTTGTCTAGATACATACTGGAAGCCTCACCAAAACACCTGGCCTGCTGGAATTTAGATTTCAAAAGTGTTTCCACTTGCAATCATCTTGGACAGAGGGCCTGTATGAATGCACCACAAAGAAGAAAAGGATTTTTTTTTTCCCATGGGACACAAAGACAAGCTATTGATATTATGCAAAACATACTACCAGCCTGCAAGTGCCAGGCTTGTTAAGTGTTTTGAAAGCCTTGGAACATTAACACAGACTTTCTTAGAAAGCAATGGGACTTAGGCACAGTGCAAGTTTTGAGGCTGCTTTCATGATACCTGGAGCCAGCTCACCTGCTCCCTACCAGTTCACAGCTGCTCACTCAGACTTTCTGGGCAGAGATCTGCCCCTGGCTCTGCTGTTTGCAGCCGCAGTGGGCCAAGGACTAGTTGATCCCTCTGATAAAGGACTTTAGGGGAATACTAGTGAGGCAAGACTGCAATGAGACAAAAGGGATGCAAGCAGAGCTAGCGATTAATCCACAAAATAAATTCACAGAAAGTATTCACAGAAAGTTACTCTTCCCAGAGAGCTACCTGCAGAAGCTTTGTAACTTTTTAAATTGATATTTTAAATTATCATTTGCAAGTGCTGTGAAATTGCCAATTGCTTGACATGTGAGCTCCTAATTAATTTTGCACACCTCAAGGAAAATGTAGGTTTTGTGGAAAATAAGGCAAATTGCTAGCTTGCTGGTGTCAAGCACATGTGTACCTCGTTATTTAAGTGTTCCCCATCAATCTGGTAAGGCTTTTCCCTCACACTGGTATTTGTTAGTTTGATCATGTTTTTCATTGCTTTGAGGTATACAAGAAAAAAACTATGTAGTTCTTTACTTACACAAGTTCAGAATTTAATGGTTTA